GGGGCCCTGGGTTCAATTCCAGACCTGAGGTGCTGTCTGTGTGGAGTCTGCATGTTCTTCCTGTGTTTTCTCCTCTGGGTGCTCTGGTTTCCTCCCTCAGTCCTGAAACATGCTGGTGAGTTCATTGGCTTCTGCGGAAATGAGCCCTGTTGTGATTGTTTGTGTGTGTGTTTGTCATACGGCCCGGTGTTCTGTCCAGGCTGTACCTTGGTTTGCACCTGTTGCTTGCCAGGATAGGCTCTGCCTCCCCGGCAACCCTGAATTGCAAGCAGCATTTAGAAAAGGGATGGATATTAGCGCTGAATTGTTCCTAGTAGCAAGGAATTCTTTCCAAATTCCTACCCCAGCAGGTATGATAGATCTTTGCAGTATCATGACTCGGGCCTAGGTATATTCAGTGAAGGCTCTCCTATGCTGCTCGTGTGGCTCCTCATCCATGAATGACCCAGTGCCCTCAGTGAGCTCACACCATGCACGTCTGGTCAGATTTAGAAAGGCAGTGGGGCTGAGGACAGTGCTTTGTGTTGTGCACATCCACAGCCTCTCTCCTTTCAACATACCGGCCCTGCAGTTGGACCCCTGTCTGCTGTAACTCTCATGATCACAAGACAAGGCCGCACAAGAAGGAGAGAAAGAATGCCGTCTGTCAGAGACAGCCTGTGTCCCTTCATAGCTGCCCAGCCCCCAAGTCAGCACGATAATTTCTGAGGCCGAGAATTGTCTTTTTTTAGCTAACCTTACTTAACCCCATTCTGTTATTCCCAGCTCAATTGCTATGATTTATCTTCTTCCACTCCACACGCCTGCTGTGCTGCGTCTTGTACTGACACCTCTTGGTGGTGGGACTTACTGCGGTAAGGGGAACACGGAGGCCTGGCTGTGCACTCCCAGGTGAAAAGGATCTGCACAGATCTTTCAGGAGCTGTCGGCACATCAGCGGAAACTGCCCTGCGAGGTTATAGATGCAGGAGAAGAAAGTTTAAACACAAAAAAGTACGTCAGATCTTTTAAAATTTCAGAAGACAAAGCCCGGGCATTATTCAATTCAAAATAGTACAAATCACATTATTATTATTATTACTCATAATAATTATCATCATCATCATCATCATCACAGACGGTTGGGAAATCAGTGTTATGTCCAAAAACAGCTGCAAATAATGTAAGTCAAAAGACTGTGGCCTCCAATTATCACGTCGATCTGTGGGTCATAATTATACAACTCGCGAACTGAGCCTTCCCGCTTTGAAAGAAAATTGTGTACTCTCCATTATTTGTCCTAACGTGGAGGCTTTAAACGGAGACGGTGGCACGTCCTCTTTTGACAGGCGGCGTGATGAATCAAGCTCCTGCCGTCCCTGACACAATGACGAGGGAAACCTCCTGGTGAGCTCACAGCCACCCTGTCCTTGACTTTCAGGTATTGTTGCGGTGCCCTTCAGATACCCATGGCACACGCACAGCGGACTTTAGGAATAATTGCACACTCCTGTTTATTTTGAAACAGAAACAAAGCTGCATTCTGTTATTGCACTGTAGTGATTATAGGAGCAGGTAACTAAAGACAATAAGCTTGTACACAATGTCTACCATTATCTGCTGTTATGTCAGGAACTGGGTAAATGGTGTTTTCACTACTGTCCATCATTCTTCTAAGCTGACACAATGCACGTATCTTTAAAACATGCCTTTTCAACTGTATGCCTTTTGCCTCTTGTACAGGAGAAAAGACGTGAGCCCTGTTGTTGCGATGTGGTGGTTTAGTAAATGTATCTCTCAAATTCAAAGCTTGCGCTCAGCATTCTTACCCTGGGATGTTCAGTACAGGAGGTGTATCGATCGTTACCCTCCAGGAAGACTAGCTGGTCTTGTCTGAATCACTTCTAAAACGGAGCAAAAAACAAATGCTTGCTCAAACTGCTGTTGGGCTGGATCAGAATGCAGATGTTCCCTTGTTATTTCATCACCACTTGGCACACAAAGGGTTAGGGTGATTACGTGAGGTTGGTCTCAGTGTGAAGTGGGTGTTGCTGCCAAGTGTTACCTGTGCCCAGGGGATTGTTACTAGCTCCCAACGGAAGTGGTTGAAGGATGTCTCGTGTTTAATGGCCTCAAGGCGTGAGAACATTCTTTCGGATCCTGACAAACAGACATTTAACCAGACTGGAATCATATGGAAGGACATGAGAAAAGGCAAGCCCTGCCGCGGAGTGAGCAGCGTTAATAAAGAGCAGGACTCCTAAGTGGCTCAAACAGCAGAGGCACTATTTCGGGGGGCCTCCCGAAACAGACCGTTCGCATCGGGTTCGAGTCGGGGCTGCCGAGGTGCAAAAAGGCAAATGTCTCTGACAAGGGCGAGTTTCAGAGGAGTGTCCCGACATCACAGCCCCAACGGGTGCTGTACAGAGGACTGCAGCAGGAATCTAATTCCAGATTGGTAGAATGCAAAAAAAAAAAGAAGAAAATAGCACCCTTCAGATTTCCATGAAAAGTAAAAAAAATAAAATAAAGGCTCAGTAAGATACCACACTTAGCATGCATATACTGTAAAAACTATGGTTAGAACAAAGGTTCAACATCTGCTACTGCTAATTTACATTTATATAGTGTTTTTCACCCCAAAAGACTTTTAAGTTTTGGGGACCTGCACCTCTGCCACCACTGCTATGCAGGACCCCGTTCTGTGACAATGGCCTGTCCTTCTATACCAGCACCCCCAGTAATTACCCCTACTCTCTTGAACGGCATCATGGGATTGTTAATGACCATGTAGTCAGCACCCCTGTTCAGCATTTCATCTGTAGGACTGCACCATGTCAGCTTAAAGAGTGTCCCCTACAGTACTACTTACAACAGCAACCTGTTTTTTAATCAGAGGTCTCTCATGCCAATACTGGCCAGCATATTTCTAACAATCAGCTCACAAGAAAATAATGCTGCTGTCACCGTCATTATCTTGATACCCACAATGTGAGTTTTATTCTCCCCTGTTGTTGGTATTAAAAGTAGCAGCAGGTGCCTATTGGTTTGAAATGCCATTAAAACCTACTAAAATTTGGAACAACTCTCAAAAGCTAGAATTAGTTCTTTGTGAAGTTGTCACTTGCTTAAAAACTCCTGATGACTGTCAAAGGGCAGACAGACAACTGAGTTTAAAAAATATCTATTTGTTAAAAGGGAAATAGTGATGCGTATAGCCTGCAGGCTGTGGAGAGTAGGTCTGGGTTGTTTTGTGGTGTTGCCCATTGCAGGTGAAGATTTATTTTGTGCCAATTGGAGCAGCTGAGACAAACAGTCCAGAGAGCTGAGGCTCGCGATAATGAGAATGGAAAAATGTTTCATTTCCAACCAGCCCCTTTCCAAGCTCCCATGTAAACAGCAAAAAAAGTTATTTAAGGAAAGCAGCCTCTTATTCAAGCAACCTCTCAGCCAAAAGATCGCAAAAGCAGACACGCAGTGACCTGCTTTATTTCAGGAAAGTTCTTCTCTCACATATGAGAAACACACGGGACAGATATTGTGGAAGCGCTCTTGTTTTGCAGAACTCAAAAACAGCTTGCTGCAGGGGCCAGTTGCATATTTATCCACCAACAGAAAGAAGGAACCTTACTGATATAAATCTTATTTTGTCAATAAAAGCAAATCTACAGTGGAACACGGACTGCTATTAACGATTTGTATTTCAACAGCCCATTTAAATAGAGACACACAATTAGATGTTTGGTGACGTTAACCTTCCAGCAGACAAAGGTGTTACTTACAGGCAGATCAGGTGCCACCTCCCAGCCCACTATAAATGAATTACTTTTAAACAAGGAAGTGCGTGACAGGTAGAACCATCTTCACAAGCATTTCTGTACCACTGGCAGAAGATCACACCCCTGGCAACAACAATCTGATAATCCCAGCACACCCCTTTTCTACCACGCTATCTGTGACAGTGATCAGGCACTTCTTAATAAGCGTTAAAACAAAGATCGCATCACAGACCCTTTCTCACACGATCATTTGCTGGATTTTCACAGCACTAAAAAACAGTGCCTCGCCTATCTCATTTAGTGTTCACTTTGTGTGTGTTTTCATCTGCAGGTCTGAGCCCCTCTCCTGCTGACCCGAGTGTGCCCAGCAATATGGAGTTCAGTCCCGAGAACAGAGCTGCCTTACTCCTGTTGCAGCACATAGACTAGTGTTGGCACTATGGGACTGACAACCGAAATATAGGTTTGGAAGTAGTTCAGGTGGGGAGCTGCGTCAGCTTGCGTGGTCTGCAAAGGAATCAGTAATAGGTTTATTCCATGCTGAAAAGAGAAGAGAGAGCACACAACGTTTCGCCTACAAAGCCTTCACAGCCGAAACGTTGTGTTTTCTCTCTTCCCTTTTCAGCATGGAATAGATCTATTGCTTGTTCTTTTATAGGTGTTAAAGCAGAGAATCAACACACACACATATATATTACTTTCAGCCACAGAAATAAGAAACAACAACTAACTATCTAGCGTATGGCCAATGACCTTTGCTAAATCTATGCAAACTGGGCGCTAGAATGAGTATAGGATGTTTGGAACCCAATATCCTGCCCAAAGATGAGACGGGTCCGTTTCCGTTTTGTTTTTCAAGTGGGGCAGCCGTTCAACACACCACGAAAGTCGAGCAATTACCGGGGGGTTATGCTAATGAAACAGCATGCGTTCAGGTTGCACTGATGCACTGATGTCATTCCCCGGCGGTTCCACCCCCCTGAACATACTAAACATACACCCCCTCACCCCCCCCCCCGCCACTCTCTGCCTAAAAAAGTGTCGTATGACCCTGAAACCCACCCCTCCACTCTCTGCGTTAAGCAGTGTTGTCATGCCCCCCCCCCCCCCCCCCCCAACTCCCACTCGTTTCTGCTGACTCCAGGTCGTATTTTTTTTTAGGCTGTCAAATCCAGTCCGTAGTTTGCGCCGTGCCTTGCGCCAGCTGACTGGCAGCTCTTGTTTACTGGCAGGGAGATACTGAGAGACTGAAAAAGGGGGAACTTTAGCGGAGAGAGAGAGAGAGGACGAGCGGTACTGCAGATTCGGGGGGGAAAAGAGAAGTTTTTTAGCTTTTTTTTCCGCAGATTCGCTTGCTGTCGACGCGTGTTTACCTTGCTGTCGCGCTTTTCGCCGTCGTCCGAAAATCTTTTCTACAGCCTGCTTTCCAAAAAAAAAAACACGAAAGGTAAAATAACCTGTCCGGGCTCAGATTAGCCCAAAAAGACGAAGACGAAGAAGCAGAAGCAGAAGAAGAGAAAAAAAACAGTGCGGGGAGTTTTGCACACTCCAGAAGCACCGTGCGTTGTGTTTTTTTTTTTTATTTGTACTGTTAAGTAACTATCATACATTTCCATTGTTTGGGACGTGTTTTTTTTTAAGACTCTTTGGGAAACTCGCCAAAGAGTTGAAAAGGAAGCTGAGCGAGGAAGGACGTTTTTACCGAAAGGGAAAAGCAATTTTTTTCGGATTATTTCCTGCGGAGTTCCTGTGATGTTTATTTTTCTATTGGACGTTGTAACACTATTTTCCTGTGATACGGAAAGGGCAGGGAAGGAGGGGGGGGTTCGGGAGGGAATAATCGTGTATAAAACACAGTGAAACCGGGGATTAAAAACTAAACGTTTTTTTTTAATTTTCATGTCAACAGTGCGAGAGGAGGAGAATACCACGCTTTATAAAAGGACAGAAAAATAAAAGAAGATCTTTGTATTTGCAAGTCAAAATAAACAGTTGCATCTTGCAGAAAAGCAACAGCTAATCCAGGAATTTTCTTTTTTTAACCTTTTGAAGGAAACCCCAGCTTTTATGTGGGTATGAGCGACTCGCTACCCCTTAGGGTACCTCCTTATTAAAGCGGTTTGCTGGTGGGAATTATTTTCTCGACTGAAGGAGGATTTTGTCAAACAAACTTTACCCGATGAAAGTGGACGACTTGTATCACTTGATTTAAAATGAAGCTCTGGGTTCGCCAAAGTGCTGTCAGAACCCAAGACCACATTATTTGATGCAAATCTAACCTGGCGAAGTAGTAAAACAACAAAAAAAGTTCATACATATTTTGAGTATTAAAACGCGTTTAAATATTCCCTCACCCCCCTTTTTGGGGGTGGTGTGGTTTTGTTTTTTTGTTTTTGTTGTGTATGAAAACGGCTTTCAAGCAAGAATCTCTGATTTTATAAACGATTAAAGGAAAAAGTTTTACTCAATTTTTGGATTTTTTCCCCTTTTAATCTGGCATTTTTTGGTGGATTTAAGGACATCACTGGGGTCAGAATGCGGTTGGACACCCCGGTGGTTGCTTTCGTTACTTTTATCTGCGTTTTAAGCAATTGCGGGATATCGGATGGAGAAAGTAAGTAAATCAAAGCTTTATTTTCCATTTAAGGATGGCGTTGGAACTCTTTCGCTGCGACAGTGTACAAATGTGCTATTTATATCATAAATCAGTTAAATCGTTAGAGGGTTTTTTATAGGCCTCGTGTTTTGTGGAACTGCTCAGATTGTAAGAAATGCAAAATGTATATATTGTTTACACCTAATTTGAGTATTTACGTAACGTTTTAAAACGCGGTTTTTGGTGGGAGAACATTTCCCAATACCATTTTCTTACGGCGGAATAAGTCAAATTTTAAGTGTTTTTTTTGTAACATTTTTAGTTTTTAAATATTTTGTTTTTAGAGAATATACCAAGTGTTTACGATTATATTTTGAGGCCTGCTTGCGCATACATGAGCCCGAAGGCTAGATTAGCCTTTGTCGCGGGAAGAGGGTGGGATATAGACAGCGATTCTAAACTTAAAGGTCCGGGACTCGTCTGTCCGCCTAGGCCTGTGTTCACGTTGAACTAATAATGCAACAAATGAGATTCAGAAGTCCAGTGTTTTGTAGGATTACATGTGACCCGGGGATACACAAGATGTGGTGCGTGCTTATTTTTTTTTCTGACCATTGTAGGAAAGCAAATAGTTTGTCGTGTTTTTATTATGGCATTTTAATGTATATTATATAGAAAACTGCGCAGAAAATGTAAAAGAGACCACCATTTTCAGTTGGTAATCTTAACCCTTTTCCCCTGTTGGTCAGGGTATAAGCCATATAAGTCTATATAAGGCACAGATTTGACCGAAGATTACCGTCATAAAATAATTAGCTCACACGCACACACTAAGTTTTGAAGAACCGCGTTCATTTTGTTTATGCATTTCATCCACTCCCGACACCCTGCTGATACACTGCACTTTGCCACAAAGTACTCTGTGCGGGGGCTTAGTGTATCTCTGGGCAGTTGGTGTGGGTCATGACAGTTTCTACACTAAATTTTCATCTGCTTTTCCGACTTATTTGATATGCAAAGCAAGAGGTCGATGTATGCAGTAAGCGATTCTAGATAAATATCTTGATAAATGCATGCACGCACAAATAGGATACTTAAAGATTTTGGTAGCCTAGAACATCACGACATTATGTTCCGCTGTTCAAACAGAAAAACAAAATCTTGTACACACCGATTTCATAACCTATACTGTTCTGTCGGTCACAACCCAAAAACAGTGGAAGACTAATGCTGACTTTTCCGTCGTGTGAAGTACCCATCCTATCTAGATGTGAACGGATGAAAATGTGTACAAAAAAATCACAGCAAATGAATTTCCCCCAACGTTTTTATTGAAGCTGGATTTATTTTAAAACCATAGAGAGTAAAAGTCAGCTTTTGTGCAACTTCAGGTGAATGCAAAAGTCTTTTTAAAACGTTTCATTAAATGATTCAACAAGTATTGAGGGGAGAAAAAATTAACAGGTGTCTGGTTCTCGTTTAAAAATAACCAGCTTTTAAAAGAGGAGTCGGCAAAGCAGCCAACCCTAAAGATAACTTTATAATAAAAACTTTGAACTAAAGATCGATTACTACCCCGTGTTCCAAATTGGCAATAATAGAAGTATACGTGTCTGGAGATGTTTTCATGTTTGTGCATCATTAATCGATATTGTGTCAAGATTATCACTCAAAACGAGCGTTGTTAGAATAGAAACCAGCTATTTTAACGAAGTGCACTGCTTGTTGATTTTTTTTTTTATATTGAAACAAACTTTCTCAAGTTCAGAAAAGGGCAAAATGTAAAGGCGGCTGTCGGTCAACTTTAAATTCCCCGCATGATTATTAGGGATCTTTTAAAAACAAATCTCTAAAAGAAAATTTGAAACTTGCACCTTTGGTCTAGTTTATCTCCCGAGTTCTCTTAAGAACGTTTCGAAAACCGCACAGCCTGTATTTTTCAGATCTCCTTGGAGTCCTGTCACAATTTGTGTCTTTCGCAAGTTAGGGAAACTGTCTCGATTCAGATAACAACGCGTGTAATTCTGAAATAAAAAGCATGTACAAAATGATTAAGTACTAATTACTCGACAGCATCGCCATGTGACATTTCTGTTTGTGGTTTCGGATGAACTATTTAACAGGCGTTTGTGTGAGGTTACTGTAGGTTAGTCCCACAAAATACTTCATCCAACCGAATTTGGCACCTCGCATTTATTGCGAGTAAAGTTGATCTTCTTTGAGAATTAAATATATGAGCAGTAATCGTTTCAAACGTATTTTAAAAAGCGCTTAGCCAGATACACCCCTCGAATTCAAACTCCTAGTATTCTTGATTTTTTTTTTCATAAAACGGTAAAATTCGTTCAGTTAATAACTAAAAGTGTAAACACCCTTTCTAGGAGAGATTTGGGAAAAAAAAGGAAAATATCATTTGATATGCTTCAGTAAATAAGTAATCCATCATCCTTTCAAGTTGGCGCGTTCGGGGGATTCGGTGTCTAACCGGATTAAATGTAAGTATAAATAATTACATGTAGCTGAGTGATTTTGACATAAATACACTTAAAGTATTGTTAACGCTTAGTCAGCTAAACGGTAATTCATCTAAAAGTTAGTTTCTGCAATAGAAAACTGCCTGTAGTTTCATGCAGTGTTTTCGATACATCCCCAAGACATATTGTCCGGGTCAACACCGTTATTGCATTTTAAAAGAGGGTTTGTGATGGTGTGAGCGATCGACATTTTTCTAAAGGATGAATGTTACATGCTAGAATATTTTAGGAAAAGGTCTCAGAAATGTATGCAGTCACGCCGCCTGTTTGCAGAAACTCGAGTCGCAGTTGGCGATTTGAGAGGAATTCAAACTTGTTAGCTTAACGCGAGTTAAAAACGGAGGGGTGAGGTGAAAAGGGGAAACTTTAAACCTTCTTTCAAAGGTGAATATAGTTGCTGTTTTTTTGTGGTCCTGTGCTTTTCTCTGTTCTGACAAAAGCGGGGCTTAATCCATAGAAGAATTTCAGTTCCTGCCATAACCGGATTTTATTTTAAATCCACTTCCAAAGGCGGCGGATATTATCTAGATTGATTTTCAAGCTTTCGACAAGTAAATGCCGTGTGGAAGTTCTTCCTTGCACTCCCTCAGAAGCCGTTTACTTTCAATATACATCCTTGTATTGTATATTTTCCCCCTCGTACTGTACCTGAAGTAAATTTCCCCTTTTGCAGCTCGGCTGTCTGGTTTTTGCTGTGACAGATTCAGTGGAGTACTAGGTCCAGGTTTTGTCCTGAGGTGGTGGTGGTGGGATAAATGCTGAATTTGAATCGAATTTATTTCTGACAAGCATACATCAAAGTTTTTTTTTACACACACAGCCATTACTTTTCACAACTGACAGAAACAGTGTTGATTTTTGAAGACCCATCCGAGACTGCACTAAGACATGCTCTGTACTGGCTTGTTGAACCCCTATTGACTGTGAACTGTTATCCCTTCGTAGCTGTACTGTCTTTGTGTCTTAAAATAAATGACCCACGTTTTTAACACTCGTACAATATTAAAAACGGATTAAATCAGTGCTTAGCCTGTTATGCAAATACTTGTATGTCTTAAGAGGTTTGGTTTGTGTGAGTCTAAATTAGCATGCCTCCTCAGCAGAGACTTGTCTTCCTCCTTGATTTTCATATGCAGCATTGCTTTTTTTGAAGGGGGAAAGTATTTATAGTACCATTGTGTGAGTTGGTGTGCTACGTTGAGCTGCACACAGGTTATTAAACCGACAGGAGGTAAGTAAAGTTGGTTTGGACTTGTGTAAATATTGTTGGAGTGACTCAGCAGCATATTGCAATAGGTGAGCTCTTAGTGAAGGTGTTTAAGATGCAGTGGCTAATGTTTGTAGCAGGCATAACTGGAATACCTGAGTGTTTTGGTCTTGACCTGTCAGGACACAGTTTCTGAGTGTAGGGTTGCTTATGTTCTGTTTGCGTTTAAGGATGCAGTTAAGATCTGGCGATTTGCATAGCTTATTTTTCATTTCTCTCTTGCACCTGGTTAAGTGGTTCAGTTTGTTCTGACAGCTTTATAGGTGCTGTACAGGCTCTGTGCAGTGTGGCCACAGAAGGTATTTTTCACAGTTGGAAGACGGGCATCTACCTCGACAGTGCTTGATTTCTCAACTGTGTGAAGCTGTCACATGATCCCCTGTTCCTCCCTTTTTCTGTGCTATGAGTCTATTGGGGAAACAAATTCTAGCAATGATTCTTGTTCTGCTCCTGTAGGTATGCCAATGGAGACAGTATTTGAACAGCATGTTGTTAGCAGCTCTGCCTGTCTCCTGCTCACCTCCACGCTCACAGGCAGGGAAGGTTTAATAAAAACAGTTGCTGAGGTTAAATGTCACCTTAGTGACATTTTAAACATGAGTGGTGAAACTTAGAATTGGGGGAAATGTTTCTGGACAGCTCTTGTCTGCCTGCTTTCTCATGGAAATTATATTAACAGGGTACCAGCTTGATCCAAAGACTCGGCACGTCAGTTGGTAGTGATCTGCTGCCAGTCTGTTTTTGTTTTTTTTAATCCTGCCATTTGTTTATGAAGTTTTTTACCCTGCTACCGTGAGAGTTTACTTATAGGTTTTCTGTCTTACTTGAGAGCTCAGGGTCATGGGGGAAGTGGCTGTAAGCATTACACAAGAGGGGGCATAATCTGTCAGGTGATGGTAAAGGGGGTTATTATAGGAAAGACTGCTGTAGCATCAGCTCTGCAGGTATGGCTAAATGTTGTCCTTGCACTCAGGAGTGAGAGCTCTTCTGCTGGGAGCCTGGAATCCGATGGGCATCAGTTTTATTTAAAACGCAGCAGAAGCCCTTTGCTATCCACATTGTGTGATAAAGACGGAGAGCAGCACTTTTTACAGATTTTAACATTCAGGATGTTTCCTTTTTAAAATGTGAGAGCAGAGACACGTGCTGTCCGTCAGAAAAAAAATGTCCTTTTTCGCAGCGAAACCCAAGCTTGCAATACAATAGGATACATTGAA